GTACAGCAGCCACGGTGTCTTGGACATGTATAGTAGCCCCGGCGTCTTAGACATGTATAGTAGCCTCGGCGTCTTGGACATGTATAGTAGCAACGGCGTTTTGGATATGTACAGTAGCCTCAGCGACTTGGACATGTATAGTAGCCACAGCGTCTTGGACGTTTATAGTAACCACGGTGTCTTGGACATGTAAAATAGCCACAGTGTCTCGGACATGTATAGTAGCCACGGCGTCTTGGTCATGCATAGTAGCCACGGTGTCTTGTACATGTATAATAGGCACGGCGTCTTGGACATGTATTGTAGCCACGGTGTCTTGGACATGTATAGTAGGCACAGCGTCATGGACATGTATAGTAGCCTCGGCGTCTTAGACATGTATAGTAGCCACGGTGTCTTGGACTGGTACAGAAGCCACGGTGTCTTGAACATGTATAGTAACCCCGGCGTCTTTGATATGTATAGTAGTCACGGCGTCTTGGTTATGTATAGTAGCCACGGTGTCTTAGACATGTATTGTAGCCCCGACTTCTTGGACATGTATAGTAGCCACGGCGTCTTTAACATGTATAGTAGCCACAGTGTGTTGGAGATGTATAGTAGCCACGGTGTATTGTTCATGTCTAGAAGCCACGGTGTCTTGGACATGTACAGTAACCTCGGCGTCTTGGACATGTGTAGTAGCAACGGTGTCTTGGTCATGTATAGTAGCCACGGCGTCTTGGACATGTATAGTAGCCACGGTGTCTTGGACATGTATAATAGCCACGGTGTCCTGGACATGTGTAGTAGCCATGGCGTCTTGGACATGAAAGAGCCTACTTTCAAAATAGTAATAGAAAGTCTCCCAATGAAAAAGGCTGCCTATGATCCGACAATCCTAAGGCGCATAATAGAAGAGCAAATGTATAGCATAGCAGTAGCAGGAGCCACCCACATCTTCACAGACGGATCGGTGGACACAGAAAATGAGAGTGCTGGCGCTGCTCTTTGCACGACCAGCGTTCAGGCATATTGGAGACTGGGAGGACTAGTATCATCAACCCAAACTGAGCTGTTTGCCATACAACAGGCATTCGCATATGTGATTGCACAAAACACTCAAAATGCAATCATACACACAGACTCAAAAGCTGCACTTCAAATACTAGGACAAAAACAGTGGAAAGATAATGTGGAAATAATTACCACCATTTTGTATCTTGGAGCAGTCGCTAAAGGCAAAGGACTCAACATAACTTTAAACTGGATCCCATCCCATATTGGAATCCCATTAAATGAAAAAGCTGATGAAATTGCTAAATTGGCAACTCGTCATCCAGTGATACATAAAACAATTCAACCCAGCCTAGAGAACATAAAAAACATCATCACCAAAAAACTCTCACATCTCAACAAAGCCTACCTGCACCAGAGAATAGCTGAAGGTTCGCCATCTGCAACATGGTATCTTCAGGCAACCAAATTAGAAAGGTTAAATATCCCAAAAGGAATCCACAGGGAAATAGCAGTTAGGCTATATAGACTACGTCTAGGTTACAGATGCAACTGGGAGATTGGTGAACCCCGACAGAGAGAGTGCATCTTCTGCCAAACTGTCACAGAAAAGCCATTACTTCACTATCTTTTGGAATGTGAAGCAACCAATGACCTTAGAAGAGCTTAAGAGTTCCTAAATGATGCAGTGGCCACCCTGAAGCCATCAATACAGCCACTCTCCTGGTCAACAAAGGTGTCCAGCAGCTGGACACCCTCATAAAGACTGTGAAGCAGTATCCTCCCCCGCGATAACAGCTTGATGGTTAAATGCAACCTCAGAATACTGAGAAAAAAAAATATTGTACCACTTACGGGCTATTCATGCCCGTGCCACCTCTTGGGTGGCTTAATCTTTATCAATCAATCTCCTAATTACCACGGGAGACATCTCCCGTCACGCAGGGTGCAGCCGCACCTCCACAGATCTCCAGAATCAGCTCTTGATACTGGTAATGGCTCAAAAGGGCCACCACTTACGGGCTATTCATGCCCGTGCCACCTTTTGGGTGGCTTAATCTTCATCAATCAATCAATCAGGTTTGAGTAGCAACATTTGCAAATTTGCCGATGATAAGAAAATCGGTAGGGAAATTAATTCGGAGGAGGACTCACTATCACTTCAAGTTGACCTAGAAAGGGTTTTGAAATGGTCGAAGGATTGGCAGATGCAGTTTAATGCTGATAAATGTAAAGTTCTGAGGTTAGGTAATGATGATAGGGTTACAAGATACGAGCTAGATGGTGTTGAGATTGCGAAGTCGAATTGCGAAATGGATCTGGGAGTTATGATTAGTAAGAATTTAAAACAAAAGGATCGATGCATAAGGTCGATGATCGATCGATGTTCGTAATAAGGCAAATCGGACACTTGGATTTATTAATCGCAGCGTTAGTAACAAGACACCTGGTGTGGTTCTCAATCTATATCTTGCGCTAGTTAGGCCCCATTTAGATTATGCAGTTCAGTTTTGGTCGCCATATTATAGAATGGATATAAATTCACTTGAACGTGTCCAGCGTAGGATGACTAAGTTAATTCCCCAAATTAGAAATCTTTCATATGAAGAAAGATTAACAAAGCTTAAGTTGCATTCACTGGAAAGGTGAAGAGTTAGGGGTGATATGATAGAGGTTTACAAGTGGGTGAATGGACATAACAAAGGGGATATTAATAGGGTATTAAAAGCATCAACACAAGACAGAACACGAAACGATGGATATAAATTGGATAAGTTTAGATTTAGGAAAGACTTGGGTAAATACTGGTTCAGTAACAGGGTTGTTGATTTGTGGAACCAATTGCCGCGTAACATTGTGGAGGTGGGGTCCCTCGATTGTTTCAAGCATGGGTTGGACATGTATATGAGTGGGATTGGGTGGTTATAAATAGGAGCTGCCTCGTATGTCTTGGACATGTATAGTAGCCACGGCGTCTTGGACATGTATAGTAGCCACGGCGTCTTGGACATGTATAGTAGCCTCGGCGTCTTGGTCATGTATAGTAGCCACGGCGTCTTGGACATGTATAGTAGCCTCGGCGTCTTGGACATGTATAGTAGCCCACGGCGTCTTGGACATGTATAGTAGCCACGGCGTCTTGGACATGTATAGTAGCCACGGCGTCTTGGACATGTATAGTAGCCACGGCGTCTTGGTCATGTATAGTAGCCACGGCGTCTTGGACATGTATAGTAGCCAGGCGTCTTGGACATGTATAGTAGCCACGGCGTCTTGGACATGTATAGTAGCCACGGCGTCTTGGACATGTATAGTAGCCACGGCGTCTTGGACATGTATAGTAGCCAGGCGTCTTGGACATGTATAGTAGCCAGGCGTCTTGGACATGTATAGTAGCCAGGCGTCTTGGACATGCATTGTAGCCACGGCGTCTTGGACATGTATAGTAGCCACGGCGTCATGGTAATGCATAGTAGCTACGGCCAGGGGAGCCGGTATAGTAGCGGACAGCACTCTGGACATGTATAGTAGCCCGGCGGTTCGATCCCAGGCGCCGGCGAAAAACAATGGGGACATGTCTAGTAGCCCCGGCGTCTTGGACATGTAGTAAAGTAGGTACCGGCGTGTTGGACATGTATAGTAGCCTTGGCGTGGTGGACATGTATAGTAACCGGGCGTCTTGGACATGTAAGTAGCCCCGGCATCTGGACATAACCTCAGTAGCCCGGCGTCTTGGACATGTATAGTAGCCACGGGGTCTTGGACATGTACAGTAGCCCCGGCGTCTTGGACATGTACAGTAGCCCCCGCCTGTTGGACATGTACAGTAGCCCCGGCGTCTTGGACATGTACAGTAGCCCCGGCCTGTTGGACATGTACAGTAGCCCCGGCGTCTTGGACATGTATAGTAGCCCCGGCCTGTTGGACATTTACCTCGTGAATATTGAACACTCGAGATATCTGATAACTGATCCTGGATTTAGTTAGTTAACTGCACCGTTCAGTTTTCATCTCACACTGGAATAATAATATTTCCATGGTGCAACATCGACAATTTCGGAATCAATGTGTACCATGCTTGGTAGTGTCTCCTGGTGGAGCTCTATATCTGATATTTCAATTTAGTGCTTGCATACTGTGAGGCGGTGTTGTCCCCTTGTGGTGAGCCACTATCACCGAGGGGTGTCCCAGTCACACACGGAGTGGGGGTCACACACCCCGGCCTTGTACCTCGTCAGGAGCACGATAATGGCAATGGTCCCCTGGGCAACAAAACTCATTCCAAAACTAAGTCGACTATCACACTAGGAACGCTTGAGGGCCTCAGGGCTAACACTGCAAACCAGACATGACAAGGCGGATCTCATCGAAACTTAAAAGATTGAACAATGTGGAGGATAATGATCCAGATTACTTCAAAAGGTCAGCTGAAAGCAACGGTTACAGCTCAACGATCTTTCAGCTCAAGGTCACGTTGATGAATAGTTTCAAGCTCACTAAGCATAATGAAGGTCAGAAAACTGGAGATGCTTTTTCACCCTCAACGTCGTGAACCGCCTACCCGCCGAAGCAGTAAACACCAAGACACTGCTGAATTTTATAACTAAGCTTGAAAAAAATCCTCAAAATAAATGGGGGGGGGGGAACTTTGACAACCCGTCGGCTTCCTGTCCTCGTCGAGGACACTGGAATGTGAATGGCTCCTCAGGTAAATTCAGGAAAAATATCACGCTTCCTCCACTCGTCTCTCCACTACTACGCTGTCGTAGTATCTCTTGTTATTGTTTTTCACATTGACGAAGCTGTTTGGTTTTACTGCACCTTATTCCACACAACTCTTTATCATTTTCGTCTCTTATTGTAATAAAATTATTCCAATATATTTTAATATATTAATAATTTCACTCAAAAATAAAAAAGATCGCCTATATTGCAACGTCTTGCAATTAGCGGGCAGCATTCCTGGGGGCAGACGTTGTTTAGTTGTGTGGTGAAGGCCGAGCGGGAGAGGTGCTTGCTCGCTCACCTGCAACAACTTGTGATTAACTTCCTTATTGTGATACAATTTTTACCAACCATTCAAATAATGGCAATGACTTGCAAGATTCTGTTTGTGTTGACACTAGCAACAGTCAAGAGCCAGATGTTGGATCACATACATCGTGATTTGGTTGCTATGAATGCATCGTGTTCAGATGAGGAGTTTTGTGATGGTGGTAATTACCGGAGTGAAGAAAACTGTTACTGTGATGATCTGTGCGCGGAGTATGGCGATTGTTGTCCTGACGCCGTCCACTACAAACGGGAAGATCAGGTCCGGCCAGAGAGGTACAGGTGTGTGAGTGTGGGTTATCGCAGCGTTTACATGAAGGACACGTGCATGTCAGGGTGGCAGGACGAGGAGGTAGCCCAGCTGTGCCTGGCTGGCTCCCCGGCAGATATCTCCAGCAGCAGGGACCCGCTGGCCCACCTCCCCGCCACCAGCAACACCACCTCCGTCACCTACACCAACTACTACTGCGCCATCTGCAACAACGACTCCCATCACCTCACACTCTGGACCACACAACTGGAATGTGACCCGGAATATTATCCAGATCAGCCGGATAACTTAACCGAATACATAACTTCTCATTTATTGTTCGCAAACGGAAATGGGAGAGCACGTATTCCCTTAAATAATACAGTTATATTTAAGAAATGTAATATTAACATTAAATTCCCTCATATTCCTGTTATTACAAGGGCATGCTACTCCACCATCAGGTCGTGTGCGGAGAACTGGACGGACGCTTCTGTTGCTGCTCTGTGTCACTCTTATACGGCAGTGAGGTATGTGGGAGACTTGGCCTATAGGAACCCCCATTGTCTTCTGTGTAACTTGCAACAATTCTCTAACGGTCAGTGTCGGCTCTTACTGCCTATTCAATAGTTCCACCTGCCTTTGCTCTAATAATTGATTTTAATGACGGTAGTGGTAGTAATACTGTCGGACTTACAAACACTTGCCAGTCCGGCGAATTTTATGATAAACGTTTAAAGAAGTGTAGAAACAAGGGAAGTTATGTGAATGAAACACGTACAGGCGACAAGTACATAGATGTTGACAGTTCTGATGCGCCGACTTGTTCTTTATACATCACAGGCAGTAACAGGGCGAAGTGTGAATTTAAAGAAATTCATAAGTGTGAAAAAATATTAATAAGCAAAGGGAAATTCACGTTGTACGAGAACAGAACAGTGTGCGTAGGGCTTTTTGACCAATGGTACCAGGCGGGAGAGTACGAGATTACTAATGATGGCGTCTGGGTATGTTTGCCAAAAGCACCCACAGAAAAGTTCTCCCCGGTGATGGGTTGGGTCTCATTGGCGGGTTTTGGGCTGTCCTGCCTTTGTCTCCTGCTCCACCTGGCTGCCTTCCTCTTGGTGCCTCGTCTTAGGAACCTCCCAGGCAAGTCCTTGGCGTCCCTCTGCCTGTCACTTCTCACCGCCTACACCATCTTCATCTTCAGCACCTTCCTCGAGCCTAGAATGACCGGATGTTACATCTCGGCAGTCCTTATGTATTACTCCTTCCTCGCTTCCTTCTGCTGGATGAATATCATGGCCTTTGACGTATGGCTGACATTTCGACAAGCTAAAGATGAGCTACGAGTGTCATCTGGGAGACAGCGAAGCAAGTTCTTATTCTACTGTGTGTACGGCTGGCTGCTTCCCGCCCTCGCTGTGGTCGTCACAGTAACCCTTGATAAGACCGCCCCTGCAGGTCTTCCTTCAGAGTTCCGGCCCAACTTTGGTCAATGTTGGTGCTGGTTCGGGAAGCGTAAGGCATTAATGGTGTTCTTCGTTGCTCCACTAATTGTAGTTATGGCTCTCAATGTTGTGTTTTTCCTTTTTACTTCATACTCCATCGGTACCAGCAGAGAACCGACACTTCGGAGGAACTCAAGTTCACAAAACAAGAAACAGTTTCTGCTGTATGTGCGACTGGCCGTGTTGATGGGCCTCTCCTGGATCAGTGGCATCGTGGCTGACTACCTGCAGCTGGAGGCCGTCTGGTACGTCTTCGTGGTCCTCAACACTCTGCAGGGAGTCTTTATCTTCTTGACCTTTACCTGCAGGAGCAAAGTGTGGCGGGCGGTGAGGGAGTTCTGTTTCAAGGAAGCTAAATCTCGTCCTGGTAAAAGTATGACGCCACCGGGGCCAAATCTGACGTCGGACACTTTAGACAGTTCTCGAATATCAATAGACACAGAGTTATCCAGCATGTAACTCACCTGTCAAGGCTCTCGCGGCTGTGTGTATGTATCTAAGCCAGTAAAAGATTAAAATATGTTTAAAAATGTCCAAGCCAGTAAAATATGTTTAAAATAACATTGTTGAAAATTAGTTAACGGAAGGTAGTATAATAAAATTCAACAAATTATAGAATGAGTGGTGAATGTGGAAAAAGCATTCGAGTCTCCCAGGTGAATTAAACGTTTATTTTCACAGTAGTATGGTTGACAATTATATATATATATATATATATATATATATATATATATATATATATATATATATATATATATATATATATATATATATATATTGGTAGCAGTCTTTCTTGTAAACACATGTTGTTAAATATGACCGAAAAGGTAAGATTAATAATTCTAACACGAATATTCTCAATATTTCTTATGTTTCTTTTCACTGTCGATGTTAATTGAAAAATCAATTTTCCAAAATTCATTTTTATTTCTAGTCTGACTTAGTCTAGAAATAATAAAAAAATCGATTTCTAGTCTAGTCTGAAGCTTATTGGCTTCAGAAAGCATTGGTTGAGGAGCTGGTCCTGCGAGAGAGACCCATTTGGTGGTTCAGTCTGTGCAGCTGGGATCATGTATCCCTGCCTGTTGACCTAGGTGCTCAGGTAGGATTTCCTTCACCAAGTTGTCAGACGCCACTGAAGAGGACAGGAACGCTGGTACAGCAATTTGTGTTGCTGTGCGCACGCCGAGGCCCCCGAGTCTGACAGGAAGGGAGGCCTGTTTCCGCTGTGAGTCACTGAGAGAAAGGTTGAGGGCTTTTTCTAGCATTGATTTCAGCAAGCTGTCGTACTCTTATAATTTAATATTACTGAAAGATGGCGAACTTCTAAGGAAGTAGGTCAGCCTGGGGAGTGACAAGCATCTGGTGATGAGGTAAAGTGCATCATGAGCATCGATGTCTTCAATCCTCTCGTTCATCCTCCTCAGGTTAGTGATCTTCTTACCAAGGACCTCGTCGATGACATTCCCTCCAAGAGGAGCACCTAGAAGTGTGCTGTCCTCAGGGTTGGTTATGTGAATGCCAGGCAAAACAACCTTTATTTGCTCTATTATGTGCTGGTTGGTGGAGGTTATTTCGCACTTGGAAGAGTTCACTGTGAGGCCAAGACTTCCTCCTTGCTCCTGAATTATTCTAATGTCATCCAAGAGTGAGTCTGGTAAGCCAGCCAGAGTACCATCGTCCAAAAACCAAATGTTGAGCTCACTGGACAGGTTATCGGTTACTTCCTTGATGACTAGGCAGAAATGAAAAGGAGCAAGGGGGTCACCCTGTTGGACACCTTGTGATTCACTTTCATGTTACCCGAAAAGCAAAGTGAGATTCTTGCTGTAACACGAGTTTGCAAACGGGTAGAGGGAAGGAAAAAGGCGATGAACCGCACTGAGGACTGCACCCCTTCGAACCAGATTGAGAGCATTTTTGTAGTGAAGTTTAGCAGGGCTTTCTCATCCGTATGTTGGCAATGTATGCTTCAGCTGCATGAGCCGAGTCCTCACACCCTTGGGGAATGCCAAACTCAGGCTGTTTTGGCTTCAGCATGTCTGCTGCTTCCTGATATATATATATATATATATATATATATTATATATATATATATATATATATATATATATATATATATATATATATATATATATATATATATATATATATATATATATATATATATATATATATATATATATATATTATTAAATATGACCGAAAAAGTAAGATTAATAATTCTAACACGAATTTTCTCAATCTTTCGTACATTACGCTTCACTGTTGGAGGTAAATCAAAAATCAATTCTCCAAAATTCATTTTTATTTCTAGTCTGACGCGACACGGGCGCGTTTCGTAAAACTTATTACATTTTCAAAGACTTTAGTTCACAAATACACAACTGAATAGAACTTACGTATCTCCGATTTTATATCTACATTTGAGTGAGGTGGAAGGGGTGATGTGGCATTAACACAAGACAGAACAAAGTGTGGTATTAATAGGGTATTAATTTCATCAACACAAGACAGAACAAGAGTATTAATAGGGTATTAATTTCATCAACACAAGACAGAACACGAAACAATGGATATTGAATAGAAGTGTTTGTAGAAAGCCTATTGGTCCATATTTCTTGATGCTTTTATATTGGAGCGGAGTCTTGAGGTGGGTAGAATGTAGTTGTGCAATAATTGGCTGTTGATTGCTGGTGTTGACTTCTTGATGTGTAGTGCCTCACAAACGTCAAGCCGCCTGCTATCGCTGTATCTATCGATGATTTCTGTGTTGTTTCTGTGTTCCATTAAGGAACATATAATCTCTTCCCACAACCAAACCATCGCCAGAGAAATCCTAGTAAACAACACAGAAATCATCGATAGATACAGCGATAGCAGGCGGCTTGACGTTTGCGAGGCACTACACATCAAGAAGTCAACACCAGCAATCAACAGCCAATTATTGCACAACTATATTCTACCCACCTCAAGACTCCGCTCCAATATAGAAGCATCAAGAAATATGGACCAATAGGCTTTCTACAAACACTTCTATTCAATATCCATTGTTTCGTGTTCTGTCTTGTGTTGATGAAATTAATACCCTATTAATACTCTTGTTCTGTCTTGTGTTGATGAAATTAATACCCTATTAATACTCTTGTTCTGTCTTGTGTTGATGAAATTAATACCCTATTAATACCACACTTTGTTCTGTCTTGTGTTAATGCCACATCACCCCTTCCACCTCACTCAAATGTAGATATAAAATCGGAGATACGTAAGTTCTATTCAGTTGTGTATTTGTGAACTAAAGTCTTTGAAAATGTAATAAGTTTTACGAAACGCGCCCGTGTCGCGTCAGACTAGAAATAAAAATGAATTTTGGAGAATTGATTTTTGATTTACCTCCAACAGTGAAGCGTAATGTACGAAAGATTGAGAAAATTCGTGTTAGAATTATTAATCTTACTTTTTCGGTCATATTTAATAATATATGTCTACAGGAAAGACTGCTACCAAATTATACTAATATATACATATATATATATATATATATATATATATATATATATATATATATATATATATATATATATATGTCGTACCTAGTAGCCAGAACGCACTTCTCAGCCTACTTTGCAAGGCCCAATTTGCTTAATAAGCCAAGCTTTCATGAATTAATTGTTTTTCGACTACCTAACCTACCTAACCTAAACCTAACCTAACTTTTTCGGGTACCTAACCTAACCCTAACCTATAAAGATAGGTTCGGTTAGGTTAGGTAGGGTTGGTTAGGTTCGGTCATATATCTACGTTAATTTTAACTGCAATAAAAAAAATTTGACCTCATACATAATGAAATGGGTAGCTTTATCATTTCCTAAGAAAAAAAATTAGATAAAATATATTAATTCAGGAAAACTTGACTTATTAGGCAAATCGGGCCTTGCATAGTAGGCCGAGAAGTGCGTTCTGGCTACTAGGTACGACATATATATATGTCGTATATATATATATATATATATATATATATATATATATATATATATATATATATATATATATATATATATATATATATATATATATATATATATATATATATATATATATATACTTCCTCCCAGTCATACCAATATGATAAATGGACGACCTCCCAGTCAGACCACTATGATACATGGACGACCTCACAGAGAGACCACTATGATACACGGACGACCTTCCAGTCATACTACTATGATACATGGACGACCTCCCAGTCATCCCACTATGATACACGGACGACCTTCCAGTCATACTACTATGATACATGGACGACCTCACAGACAGACCACTATGATACACGGACGACCTTCCAGTCATACTACTATGATACATGGACGACCTCCCAGTCATCCCACTATGATACACGGACGACCTCACAGACAGACCACTATGATACATGGACGACCTCACAGACAGACCACTATGATACATGGACGACCTTCCAGTCATACTACTATGATACATGGACGACCTCCCAGTCAGACCACTATGATACATGGACGACCTCACAGACAGACCACTATGATACACGGACGACCTTCCAGTCATACTACTATGATACATGGACGACCTCCCAGTCATCCCACTATGATACACGGACGACCTTCCAGTCATACTACTATGATACATGGACGACCTCACAGACAGACCACTATGATACACGGACGACCTTCCAGTCATACTACTATGATACATGGACGACCTCCCAGTCATCCCACTATGATACACGGACGACCTTCCAGTCATACTACTATGATACATGGACGACCTCACAGACAGACCACTATGATACATGGACGACCTCCCAGTGAAACCACTTTGATACACGGACTACTTCCCAATTGCATCACTATGAGACACGAAAGACCTCCCAGTAATACAACTATGATACATGGACGACATCCCAGTTATGGCTTTATGATACTTGGATGACCTCCCTGTCATACCACTACGGTACATGGGCGACCTACACGGACGACCTCTCAGTCATACCACTATAATACATGGACGAACTCTCAGTCATACAAAATGATAAATGGACAGCCTCCCAGTCATACCACTATGATCCATTGTAGACATCCCAGTCATAACACAATGACACATGGACGACTTCCCAGTCACACCACTTTGATACACGGACGACCTCCCAATCATACTCCTATCATACCCCAGTCACACCACTATGATACACGGATGACCTCCCAGTCATACCACTGTAATACACAGACGACCTCCCAATCATACTACGATGATACATGGACGACCTCCCAGTCATACTACTATGATGCACGGACGACATCGCAGTCATACCACAATGATACACGGATAATCTCCCAGTCTCACAACTATGATACACGGACGACCTCCCAATCATTCCACTTTGAAATATGGACGACCTCCCAGTTATACCACTATGAAACATGGACGACCTTTTTGGCATACTACTATGATACACGGACGAACCCCTAGTCATACCTCTATGAAACATAGATGACCTCCCAGTCATACCAATATGATAAGTGGACAACTCCCAGTCATACCACTATGATACATGAACGACCTGCCAGTCATACCACTATGATACACCGACGACCTCCCAGTCATACCACTATGATACACGGACGACCTCCTAATCATACCACTATGA